ATATTATCCCTGGGACTCACACAGTAGAAGGAAAGAACCAATACCCACAAGTTGTCTCTGACCACCACACATGTGCCATGGCATGTGAGCACCCACATGTGTACACATGTACATGCACACCTACATACACACAATCATACATAATCTTAAAAAAATCAATATCTGTTGTAAGGTGTTTTTTGTTTGCTTTGTTTTGTTTGTAAATTTGTATAAAATTTCTTAGGAAAGCAAAACTTAAGAGACAGTAGGTTCTCAGCACTAAATTTAGGAGTGAAAATTTATTACATGACAACTGTGAAAATTTATTGTTGCGGCACAAATATTTTAAAACTGGATTATTGTTATAATTACACAACTAAAAATTTTCTAAAAATCAGTGAATTAAATGTATAACTAATTAAATACCATTTACAGTAGCTACTTCACATATCCGATTATACCCTTGTAAATGCATGTTTATACATATTGGCAATTTACTATTAACCTTTCTGTTTTTACCTTATTTCAAGGCAATCAAAGAAATCCTGTATTCTACATGTGCAATTTTGTGATATCTGTGTCTCAGGCCCCCTAAAAGAATAGCAGTAGCTACTTCTTTTGCCAATGGGATGATCTATTTCTCTTGAAAAAGCAGAAGGGGATTAACTTTGCCACCTGCAATGGCAAGTATTAGTATTTTACAGGATTTGTAATGTTTATAAGATGATACAGACTCAACACAGATTCAATTAGGCTGATAAAGACCTACTCTAATCTAATTCACAGATTATACTATCTGACTCCATACTTCTTACCATTAACCACTAACCTATAGATTTCCTATATAGTTTCCTTATTGTTGTGTTTCCCCCTCCATCATCCTAACCTCATGTTCCTGTCCAGAAACCCATAAGCCTGTAGCCTCAGTTCCTGAATACATTCCCAAGCTCTTGTTTTTTTTAATACAATTGAATTCAAGTATCAAGAATAGGGATGTTTCGGTTTGGTTTGGTTTGGTTTGGTTTAGTTTAGATTTGGTTTGGGGGGGGTGAGGGTGGGAGGGGTCATTGTCAGCTGCTCCAGGTGGGGATTCCAGCATGCTTCAAGGGGATTTCTAAACACCACCAAATGTGACATGAATGAGAATTAAGAAAAATTAGGATGGGGTTGGGGAGAGGAATAGTTCGGTCTGTTACATGCGTGCCAGGCAACAGCGCAGACCTGAGGTCAATCTCCAGCACCCTGTGTAAAAAGCTGGAAATAGATGTGGCGATGTGTGATTGGGGAAGCAGAGATAAGCTAATCTCTGGGACTACCCAGCCAGCCTCTTTAACCTAACAGGTTCCCGGTTCCAATGTGAGAGCCTGTCTCAAAATACAAGGTGGATAGTACCTGAGGAGGAATAACACATGACATTAACCTCTGATCTCCATATACATGTATACACACACACACACACACACACACACACACACACACACACACACACACTTAGACTAGAGTAATAGTTTACCAATGTACATACATATTCACAATATGTTCTTACTTGCAAATATTTTTATGTAAATAAATTAATTTTTCTTGTGAGTCCTAGGAAGTGAGTATAATTAGCCCCGTTTTACAGATGGTAGAAATCCTGTTTAACATATCCAGAAGTACCTGGAAGTAAGGTACTCAAGTTTGTCTCAAGTCCAAACTCACCCTTCTACAACAGTCATCGAATTGACTCCATATAACTTTTTGACAAAATTAAGTAAATAATAATTATTTCTACTCTTCCTGGATGGAAGGACAATATCCCTCTCCACAGTTCAACTCTAAACTGAGACAGCCAAAGCTGTCTGCGCTGGTCTACACACACAATTAGTAGCAGCACGACACCATCAAAGAAACCCACTGGCACCTGGTCGCCCCAAGAAGGTGGTTTTCAACAAATAATACCATCTTGATGCATCTGTGAACGTTTTTTTTCCTAACCTGAAATTAAGTGCTGCTATAAGTTCAAAGTCTTTGGTCATGTGTCATTAATTGCCAGTGAATTTTAAGGATGAGACTTAGCATACACACATCAACTTTTCCAAATAAGAAGACTAGTTAACAACCAGGCAATAGTGACACATGCCTTTAGTTTCCATGCTTAGGAGGCAGAGGCAGGCAGATCTCTGTGAGTTTGAGGGCAGCCTGGTCTACATAGCGAGTTCTAGGACAGCCAGGGCTACACAGAGATACCCTGACTATTAAAAAAAAAAAAAAAGGAGGAAGAGGAGAAGGAGAAGAAGAAGACTAGTTAACAGATCTAGAAACCACAGCCCACTGTGGGTTGTTTCCTCTAGCAGTCTAGTCTTCTTTTGAGACACCACGTGTCAATATTTGAGATTTCACTAGTATACGTGGTTTTATGGCTCATCTGCAATTATCTGGCCAGTTTGTGCTTCAAGAAGACATGTCAAATCCATTATTTGATGTCATTCTTCCAACAGCCACAGTAGAATGCAATCACAGAGGTAGACTTTGCTCTCCGATTCCGAAACTTGGAGTCAGCAACTTAGAAATTTTACTGAAACACTTCCATTCTTACATTTGCTAACCCTAATAAAGTTCTCACTTGACAGCTGTAATTAAGGAATGATGTATTGCTTGAGCTTGCAAATGATTGTTTTATAAAATAAAAACCAAATGAGGACATTGAATAATGAAGCTGAAAACCAGCTTTCTATGCTATGGATATTATTTTAATTACTTGTTCTATTTATTTACTTACTATTATTAATAGCTCTGTTCATTGAGAGATTGATATATACCAAACATTTTACCATTAATTTACATACATCATCTCACATGGGTTAGTTCTTCCTACGAACAATTATAAAGTACACTTATCCTCACTTAATATATGAGGTACAAAGGATTTAGCACAGAGCTTATTCAAAATCACACAACAAATAAATAGTAAAATCAGGAATAAGTTTCAAATATTTCTGATTCTAAGCAGCTTATTTCTGACCAATAAATTATGCCAAATGTCAGATTTTAAAACATCATAACCAATAACCCATGTACACACACACACACACACACATATATATATATCTTATTCACATAAGGCTATCCACCTATTTGTGTACACATATGCACACACCTAAATAGCATACAAATATCAATTGTTATCTACAAGAAATGCCCCTTTTCTTAGTGCTTTATCCCCCCATTGGCCATATCTGTTTTGGAGTTATGTTAACTCTGCTCTGGAAGAGCCATACTATAAGAGACTGCTAAGACTCTAAAGGAGTTATTCCAATTCCACAGAGAGACTGTGCTGCACATGTTATGAATGTTTAAGACCAAATGCACAGTCTGCCATGTCAACTCTCATCTACTTCAATGACAGATTATTTTTCTCCTAGAACTAGTGTTTTGAATATATCAGCTAGGGAAAACAGGGGGACATTTTTCTAGAGTCAAACACACACTTACATACAAATTGTGATGGACTCGCAAAATGTAATTCCAGTAGCATTAAAACTCTGGCTTAAACCCACAAAAACAAAAGAAGATACCCTTCATCAAATAATTCAGTGAGCCACAAATCCCTTAATTCATCTCATATCATACCAACTATATATAACACTCAGAAATGCACATCTATTGAGCAGCACCATGAGCAAGAGACTATGATAAATATTATACATGAATTATCTCATTAACTTTCATTTCAGTTCAATATGAAAGCAATGATTATTTCCTTTTCAATATGAGGAAAATGCATCCAAAAAAGAATCAAGTTAACTTTACAAATGCACTCAAATAAAAAGGAGCAAAACTTGGGATCCAAATCAGACCTCAGAAATGGAGCTAAAAGGCTTTATGAGTATGTACATATATGGTATATTTGCATTAGAACTGAGAAGCAAAAGCTTAGCAAGAAGGAAATTCAGATTCATGTGGAGCAAACATCAGAATGCCTAGACGTCTATTTGTTTGACAAAATATTAAAAAGACGACTTTCATAAGCATATTTGGGCTTCTAAAAAGAATCTTCTTTTATCAATATGATGAATCACACCTGAAATTCCAGCGGCAGGAAGCGGAGGCAGAAGTGCCCACAGTTTAAGGTCAGTCTGGCCTACAAACTATTAGGCCAGTCTAGACAACGGAGTGAGACCTTGTGTAAAAATACAGCAAATTTTGGGCTAGGGAGGCAGCTTATTGGGAAAAGCCATCGCAGTGCAAGTGTTAGAGCCCAAGTTCGAATCTCCAGAACCCTGGTAAAGACAGCAGAGTAGCCTATATCTGTAATCTCACTGCTTCCCAGCAAGATGCAAGGCAGAGAGAGGATAAGCCTACAACCTTGCAGGCCAAATACCCTGGCCCAGGCCACAGCAGACAGCGAAGACAGTCCCTTCTCAAACAAGGTAAAATGTCAACAAGGACCAACCCCTAAAGATGTATGTCCTCGGATCTCCACAGATGTGCTGTGCCACGTATATGTCTACACGTACACACACAAATTCACACACATACACACACACACACACACACACACACACACACACACACACATTATATGCTCAGAGATTTAAAAAAAAAAAAGACTTTACTAAACTGTCAACTCACTAGGCTGTGACTTTAAATAACATTCCTAAAGCTTTTGCTTAAGGCTCTTAACTAAAATGAAAGCCGTGGAAGGGATATTTGGAAAATAGGAAAGGCGGTGTATTTTGTCATACGTCTTTAACTTTTAAAAATGGAAAGCCCTGTTTGATCCATGTGTGTTCTAAATTTGTGCTGGCAAATAGTTTTCATCACTCAAACCCAACTCAACCAACCCTCTCTGCCTTAAAAGCAATCCCGAGTTCTTCACCAGAAAGCAGTGATTGATTAGCATTGTCTGTCCTGACAGAGGCGGGGCAGCACGCAGGGCTTCTATTTGACAACCCTGCCCTAGACAAACAAATACACACCTCCTGAAATAGACTCCAAAGAAGAAAGGAAAG